GTATATAATGTCTGGATTTTTGTATGATCGGAAATGCAAAAAAAAGGAGGGAAGAAGGAGGAGAAGAATGGGAGAGAGAATGTTTATCCAGTACCCGACCGAGTTACATTTTCTCGCAATCTGGGGGAGGGGGTCATGAGTCCTGACCCCTGCCTTGGGCAACATAAAAGGGGAAACAGAAAAAAATTCTAGACATACATTTTCAGGACCCGTGAGCTGATTTTTTTTTTCTTTTTTTTTTTTTGTTGCAATCAGAAAATTAGAATCAGAAAAAAAGAAGAACATAAAATTCATTAAAACACACTTCAAATGTCGAGAAAGCTCATTTTCCGCCATCTAGGAATCAACATTTTCCCGGAGGAGAACCCCCAGACTACCCTTTCTTTTTGAGATTTATCGATTCATGGAAAAAAGAATACGCATGCAACTACTCATTTTTTTATGTATGTATTATACACACATAAAATAAAAAATTAGCTGACCTTTTTTCAAGAGGGGAAAACCTTGAATTTTGAAGAACTTTAAAAGTCATTAAAAGACATTTCAGAAGTCAGGAAAGCTCATCTCCCGCCATCTAGAAATTGAAATTTTCCCGGGGGAACCCGGACCCCCTTTATCTTTTGAGTTAATTAATTAATTGAATATTTTCAAGGGGTGGGGGAGGAACCTTGAATTTTTAAGAATTTAAATGTCATTAAAAGACATCACAGAAGTCGGGAAAGCTCATTTCCCGCCACCTAGGAATCAAAATTTTCCCGGGGAAGAACCACAGAACCCCCCCACCTTTTTCTCTTTGGGATTTATCGATTCATGGAAAAACTACGTATGCAACTTACTCAATCTTTTTTACGTATGTATACACACATAAGGCCTATTTACTGTAATAACAATGGGAAAAATTATCTGACCGTTTTCAAGAGTGGAAAACCTTGAATTTTGAAGAACGTAATTACTTTTAAGTTCTTTAAAATTCAAGGTGTTCCCCTCTTGAAAATTATTATAATGAATCAATGAACCCAGAGAAATGGAGGTTGAGTTCTTCCCGGGAAAATGTTGATTTCTGAATGGTGGACAATGCGATTTCCCGACTTCTGAAGTACACCTCAGAAGTCGGGAAGGCTCATTTCCCGCCTTCTAGGAATCAAAATTTTCCTGGGGGAGAACCCCGGACCCCCTTTCATTTTGAGATTTTTTGATTCATGGAAAAAGAAATCGTATGCAACTACTCAATTTTGTGTGTATGTATACACACATAAGGTCTATCTACTGTAATAACAATGGGAAAAAATTACCTGACCGTGTTTAAGAGGGGAAAACCTTGAATTTTGAATAACTTACATTAAAGTCGCTAAAAGATACTTCAGAAGTCGGGAAAGCTGATTGCTCACCATTTAGTAAAGTTACATTTTCCCTGGAAGAACCTGAACCTTCCTTTTCTCTTTGGGTTCATTGATTCATTATAATAGTTTTCAAAGAGGAAACCTTTAATTTTAAAGAATTAAAAGTAATTAAAAGACACCTCAGAAGTCGGGAAAACTCATATCCCGCCTTCTAGGAATTAAACTTTTCCCGGGGGAGAACCCCCGGGCCCTCCTTTCTTTTTGGGATTCATCTCATGGAAAAAAAAAATCGTATGCAACTACTCATTTTTTTTATGTATGTATACACACATAAGGCCTATGTACTGTAATAACAATAAGAAAAAAAATACCTGACCGTTTTCAAGAGGGGAAAACCTTGAATTTTGAAGAACTTAAAAGTAATTAAGACACCTCAGAAGTCGGAACAGCTCACTTCCCGCTATCTAGGAATCAAAATTTCCCCGGGGGAGAACCCCCGGACCACCCTTTTCTTTGGAGCTTATCGATTCATTGAAAAAAGAATACGTATACAACTACTCATTTCTTTTAATGTATGTATACACACATAACAGGCCTATTTACTGTAATGAGAAAGTTTATACCTTACCGTTTTCATGAGAGGGAAAACCTTGAATTTTGAAGAACAAAGTCATTAGACACCCAGCTCAAAAGTCGACAAAAAGGTCATTTCCCGCCATCTAGAAATCAAAATTTTCCCGGGGGAGGAATGTTGACCCTACCACCTAGATTTGATTCCAGATCTGCATGATTCATATTCCCATTCATCTTATAAGCAGTGGCGTAACAGGTGGGGGGGGGGGGCAGGGGGAAGACTGCCTCCCCTGACGGTTTTTACCGGGCTGACCAAGCCGTCGTACCGGGCTGGGAAAGAAAAGAAAAGAAAGAGGGGAGAGGGAGGGAAAGAGAAAGAAGGGGAAAGAAAAAGAAAGGTAAAAGGAAAAGAAAAAGAGAAGAGAAAAATAAAGACAAGAATAAAAAGGAAGATATAATGAAAAGATATTACAATACCCCGGCCTGCAACCCCTTCTCCACTTCAAAAAATGTTCATAGCGCATTTGATCTAAGCCGCCAGGTATTCTCCGCAGTGGCGTAACCACCCATCTGTGGAAAATCTTTCCCCATTGAATTCCCTTTTCACCCGGGAAAGTGCCTGAAAATTTCAAATTTTAAATCGCATATTTTGTTGAGGTAGGCCAATTTCCTCTAAAAATTGCACATTTTAGGGAGTTTTGATCAATTTCGACGAAATTAGAATTTTTTTTTTTAATGTTAAAGCTTGTGCCTGCTCTCTTTTGCTTTCTAAGTTATAACACATAGTCCCAAACTCAAGAAAGAAAATTTAAGATAGATCATTTTACCTAAAAGAAGGGCCTCAATGTGTAATGCTGTTGAAAGAATATGTTTGTAATAAATAAAGCCATAAGGAAAATGCTAATATACAGTTTAAAAGAACGAGTGTGGCCATATATAACATAAGAGCATTTCTTGTTGAGGTAGGCATTTGTTAAGGTTAAAGCTTGTGCTTGCCCTCCTTTGCCTTCTAAGTTATTTAAAAACATAATAGTCCCAAACATGAGAAAGAAAATTTAAGATAGATCGTTTTACCTAAAATAAGGGTCTCAATGTGTAATGATGGTGAAAAAATAGGCCTATGATTGTAATAAATAAAACCACGATGAAAATGCTTATATTTAGTTTCAAACACACGTGTGTGGCCTGTATTAATAATAATATAAGCCCTATGTCGTATTGTTTTTTATATGGGATGGGCTATCACACCAAGTCATAAATTACTAACCGGGAAAACTATTACCTTCCTCCCCCCCCCGACCCAAGACCCCTGTTACGCGCCTGCATATAAGTGGGGCCCCCCACTGCCACTGGTTAATATACCAGGCTAGTTATCTGAAGGTCGTTGGTTCGAACGGCACTCTCCCCTGTGGTTCTAGTGGTAGAAGTCTTCTCGGATAAAGACTATAAACCGTAGGCCCAGTGTGTACAGTGGCTCCTGTGCACTATAACCTAGTACATCCTTCGAGATGAGTAGAGTAGGGAGATACCCCGGTGTACTGGAACAGACAGCCCCTGTGGTGGACTACGAGAGTTACTGGTACCGGGTTACCGGGTAGCACAGACACGAATATTCATTCTTTATTCTTTATTCAAATACACATCAAAATCGAAAGCAAGGCTGAAGTAATTGATATTTACAAAAATATGGCAAGTAGGCAAATATAAAAACATAAAAACATCAATCAAACACAAGCACAAGACATAAAAAATGGAGATAAAAGTAACATTAAAATACATAAAATTGGGAAACATCAGAAGTACACAACAGGTTAAAAAACATATACGTAATAAAATTGATTATTTTAATTATTAATTATTGAATCATTGTATTCCGTATCATTATTTTAATTATTATTATTATCATCAAATATAAAAATTCAGTCATCCAAACAAAGCCCACACAATTAAATTACAATTAAAATTACATCAAAATTGGAAAAGAAAAACGCGACATAAAAAAGAGGCCAACATTTAAAGTAAAAAAAAAATTGTCATGAATTATTTAATTGTTATTATCATTGTTATATTATTTTCATATGCGGTAGTAGTCATTACTATAACAATTATTATTAATTAATAGTTAATAATATTAATATAATTAATAATAACAATTACAGCAACAACCAATAAAAAAAGTCAATCAATCAATATAATTAATAGTCGAAAACATCAATAACAATCACAATTACCATTATTATCATTATTATCCTAATAATAATAATAATAATGATAACAACTACTGTTATCATCATTATTACTACTAACATAACCATAATTATTATTATAGTTTTAATTATTATTGCAGTTAAGCCAAAATCATTAATTTAGAATTGAAGTAAGAAATGGTATTGCACTCTTTCGATACCTTTCCACTCTACATTTTGGATGCTGATACCTCACTTTTCTAAGTTCCATATTGCTATTGTTAGCAACATTAAACCATTTTTTGAAATGACTACTGTGCAACAAAGCAATATGATTGAATCAATTCAAATATACTGAGTATTCTTGATTAAAAGGGACCCTTAGGAGTAATA